CTGTGATTAAGGCGCGTGAATGAACGTGTAAACACGCCCTGCGAGTCTGACATCTTGGGGACCTTTCCATCTGAAACACTGAAGCATCCTCTGAATTTTGAATTTTTTGGACACAGATCAAGGTCCCCAGAGCTCAACCACAAAGGAAGAGGCAGCAAATACCAAATTATAATTATCTATTGCAAAGCTGTCTTGCAAAAATCAGCAGATTTCACTAGGCTTCTTCACTGCAAGGATTCTGCATTACTCATTTTTTGTGTGTTCAGTTTGGAGGGGGCTTTTTTTTTTTCTTCTATTGACTTTTTTTTTTTTAGCCAATGTGGAGAAACGTGCTGGAGATGCACTCAGACCTTAGGGGTTTGTCTGTTTGGCCAATGTTCAGGCTTTAGGAAGGGTTGGGGGTAATGTGAATGGCTCAAGAATTGAGCCACGCGGCACCAGCTGGACGTATGTGCCCTTCTCATCTCACCAGGAGGAAGCCTGCATTGCCTTTCTTTGGTTGCACAGCTTCCCAGGGGAAATGCTGGGGAGCTCCATATACTGCAGCGTTACATGATGACATGCCTCCCAAGCCCTTCCTTGTAAGGGATCCAAAGGCTCAATGGGGTCAGTACCTGCAGCTCTTGTGCAATGCAAGGCAAGAAGCGGGGTGAGGGAGGTCTCTCAAATGCTATGCCCAGCTTCCCAAAGGGCTCTGCCCCAGACAGCTTCCAGTGCAAAATGCACGGCAACGCCAGAAAGAGGGAAAGGAGGGAGTGAGAGGAAAGCCATCATACCCAAAGGTGGCATTGAGCATGAAGAGGCACAGGGCTGCCTCAGAGGAGGCAATTCTTGCTGCAGAGCGGGTACACACAGTCGTGCCAATCTCCTGTCGGAGCTTGGCACTGGTGGTCTCTCCTTGCACCAGCTCACGGCAGGATAGGCAACATAATCCAAAGCTAGCCCTTGGGCAGGAGGAGTGTGGAAGCAGCACTGCTTCTCCAAGCACGGTCCCAGCTAGCACATTCCAAGCCCGACATCTTTGCCCTTCGATTGTTAAACACAAGGACTGTCTGGGTAAGCCTGTGTCCTCTGAGTGGGAACAGTATTGTAAAAGCCTGCTCTCTCTCTCTGAGGCACTGCATGGGTTTTGGCAATTAAAAGATCACTTGTACTAATAATAGTTATACTTGAAAAGCATCTGGAGAGAGCCCATCTACATGCTTGAGCTGTGCAGGCAGTTGGAGTGCTTATTAACGCTTGCAGATCACAAAGCCAAGGACAAAGGGTGCAGAGGAGCTGAAGACAAGCCGTTCTCAGTCCAAAGAGACCGGACCGAGCCAGAAATTACGCTCTTCTGGTGCAACTAAATTAACATTTGCAACAAGCACCCTCCTCCCAAACATTCTCCTAAACAGACCTACCCAAAGCAGAACTGTACCCCATAAAATCAACTCTGATCCTTGCTATGTCATCTTGTGTATTCAATATACTACAGCAAAGGGGATCAGTGCAAAAATCCTACAGGCAGGCAGGCTCTGAGCTGCAGCTGCCCCTACACTGAGGAGCAGCAACCTACATAGCATTAAAAAAAAAAAACACCCAGCAAGAAAAGAAGTGTGGAGGGAGAAAGGTAGAAAAAAAAAAAAAGGAGGGAAAAAATCTTGCATCAGAAGCCGTGAGCTGTCCAATGTCCACGCACATAAGACAGGGATTTAAGGCTAGATCCAAAAGAGAAAGTCAACTTCAGGTGTCATTAGTGCCCCTCTGCTTGGCCTGAAAGATCCCCAGGCACCTACGCTCGCAGTTGTGAGCACCAGGGCTCTTCCCCCTTGCGCGGGGAACCGTACAGATGATGGCAAACCTCGAACGGGAATCCTCCGCCCTCATGTGAAGAGATGAGACCGTCCATCTTTAACAGAGAGAATTTTTCTCCCCCATGTTCATTGGGAGCAATCGGTAAGCTGCATTTAAAAGCTTTCCAACTAGACCCGTCTCACCCTTTCATTCTTCCAGCCCATTAGGTCGCTGCTGTCCCAGCTACCTGCACAGAGGAGTCGAGACCAAGTATTTCCAAAGTGACACTAAGCATTAAAACCACGTGTCACGAGGATGGGCACATATCCATTCCCCTTCTCTCTGTCCCCAATCCTTTGCATATCACCTTTATGGTATCGAGGTAAAACTCCATGACCCTGGAAAAATCTGAACCTGTCCTCTCTGGCACCAAATAACTTGATATTCATTTTTCTGCAAATAGGAGTCAAAGGGTTACATAGATCAGGTGGTTTTTTTACCCCCCTGGATAGTCCAGGTTTGTCTACACTAGAAGAGCCTTGGTGGCCGTAGCCACGTTGGCAGAGCCCCCTCGTGGAGACGCAGCGTATGTCGGCAGAGGGAGTTTTCCCCTGGGAGCAACACACCACCACCTCCCTATATAACATGATGTGCCTGGCTGTTTTTACCAGCATAGGAAAGGGATGCTACTGGTTTTCACACCCTCAACTGATGTGGCCCTGCAGGCAAAAAACGCCCCCCAACCCTGTAGTTTATACCCAAGCTGAAGATCATTCAATGGACTATCTTAGAAAGGAAAAAAAAAAGCACACATGGAAGGGTACCAATTCCACTTGTATCAACCATCTTGTCACCCTTTCTTTGCACAGCACCTGACACAATGACTGCAACGCTACATAGAGTTAGGTGATGATGACGACGTGTAGTCCGTGTCTACAATACTACAAATAAACAGCTGCCCTGATGCAGCTCTGTTGGCTTGCCCAATATTCATAAGAAAGCAGCGTTTGGGCATCAGGGATTTGTCTGTTTGCTGGGCTGCTGCATTGCAGCCGACAGTGATTCGGTTGTGGTTTTGCCACTGATATTGAGGAAGGATAAAGAAAAGTGCAGGCAACCTCTGGGACCTGTCCACTGCAGGCACTGGGAATTTGAGGTGGGAAAGCAACCCAGGATGGGGTCCTTAGTATCATGGTCAGAAAATACAGGGGGAGCCCAGTACCCCATATTTTAAAAATAACAACTGGCACTGAAACAATGTTTGAATGATCCATTTTTTTTTTTAAGTGTCATTATATTCTACAAAGAAAATGCAGGGGAAAAAGATATATCCTGGTAGTACCTAACAGTCAGATAAAAAGACAGGGTCTCTTCTCTGTACCTAACTGGCTGTGGGCTGACACTCACTCACGGGATTAGCTTAAGTCCTTCCAAAAGGGCATAACACGGGAAGAGAGGGAAATGCTTCAGCAGGCAGGGTCTAAATAGGCTAGCCAATATTTAAAAGCTGCCCCATGCAAGTACAGGGTATTACAAATTATGGAAGTATAATAGTTGGTCTACGGGAACTGCTGTGATACAAATTGGCTTTAGCAAGATCACGTGGAGAAAGAGAAACTGAAATAAAGCCGGCAGGTTTTTCCTTCTGTGTTTCAAAAATAAGGCGGACTGCAAAGAGCAGATCGTTAAGGAAACGAAGGGCTCAGTTCTCAAGTCAAGCAGTCCGTTAGTGGTACACTATGGCTCTACCCAAAGGTCACAGTGATGACTACTTGCACGTGTAAAACTTGCACCTATGAACATGATCTTCTTCTTCAAGCCCGAAATACCTACTTGAAAGGAGAATGCATGCAGAAATTTTAGTACATTGTCATGGCTATCTGCTGGTTTCCCTTTCATTATGAAAGAGCTTAAAAGAAAAAAAAAAAAAAGAGGGTCTAGTTACTTTGGAAATTATACCCGATTTCCCATAGGCACACTAAATAGTGTTTGGACCTGCAAAGTTTATCTGAAATAACCCATGCACTGGTTTGGTATATAAACAGAGCTTTTACAATGTTTCCCTTCTCTCACGATAAGGTTTCTCTTTGTAGGAAAAAAAGCACAATGTGACAAGTATTACACCTTGACTCTGTGCATCAAATCTGTTTCTAAATGTCTGAACTGACAGCATGTCTGGTCACATGATTCCAGTCGGCAAATTTGGCCAACGGTGATGCTTTAGGACAAAATTATGAAAAAAATGACAAATTAACAATGGCAACTAATCAATAAATGACAGAGTATGGAATCCATGAACCTGATAATGCAACCCCACAAATCGCTGGTTTCTTCAAAATAAAGTATTAGAGCTAAATATTTGCAGGACAGCGTCACTTGTTCCTAGTAAAAATAATAATAATTTTA